TCCTCAATATATGTTCCACTCTATATGCATCCGAAGAAGTGGGCAGTAGCCCACGAAAGCTTATGCTCTAATAAATGTGTTAGTCTCTGAGGTGCCACAAGTACTCCTGTTCTTTTTGCGGATACAGACTAACACGGCTGCTACTCTGAAACCTGTTTAAAAAAATGATTCAGTCAGATCCCCTGATTATTTTCACAAGCCTTTTAGTTTAGATTTAAATTCAGATCGCTTGAGGAGGCCTATGGTAGCTTGATTTCAAATTCAAATATCAAGCAATATTAGGGCTGGAAAACTCCCAGACTTGTTACATGCTCACTCAGATTACATAGCATAATGTTTTGTCCAGTTTTTGAAACCCAGAGTAAGTCTGTCTGTGATGGTGGATTTCTTGAATTTAAAAGGCCATGCATTCAGTGGCTTTTATTTTTGTTTCTTTAATTAAGGGGAGTGGATTTATTAAAATATGTGGGACTTGATTAGGATGCAATAAATGCTGATAAATGTAACAGGTGCTGACTCTTCTCTGTGTTCAGTCCAAGAAGGATTGGAACTGGAGCAGGAAAGCTCACCGCTGGGTATCAGGACAAGTGGACCCAGATTCTATAGGAGCAAAGGAACTAAAATCTAATGCAAGTCTGTGGTTGGATATCGCTCTCTGTAGCCACCAGGGCTTTCCCAGTCCACCTCAGGAGGATGTCCTCTCCACCCCTCAGCTCCACACCCCCTACCCACCAGACTGCCTGCTACCCCTTGCAAAGGATTACATGGTTGGAAACAACTCCTTCCCAGAGTTCCCTGTCTTTGCCATGGGGAAAGAGGTTCTCTCCATTGCTCTAACTTCCAGAGTCCCTACTGTATGTGTGCCACTAACCCCCAGAGCACTCCTGTCTCATTCCAGTATTGGACTGTCTCTATCTCACAGTGGGAAAGGGGCTGTCTGCAAACATCTGACTTTTGTCTCCTCCAACCTTTGCCATATATGAAACCAGTTTTACAATCCAAACTGATGGTAAGCTATGCCCCATTCCTATTTGAGTCCCTACCTTAGCAGCATCTGCCTCTTCCCTTATCTCTGGTTTTATTTTTTAATTCCTTGATCCTGGTTGTAGTGACCCCTCTGACCCTGAACGCATGCTGAGGTTTGCTCTAGCCCTAAGTGTTCCTCCTCCTCCTCATCTGCTTTCCGCTTGCACTGGAGTAAATGAGCGCACCTTCCTAGCCATCAAGCCAGATGGGGTGCAGCGGCATCTCATAGGGGAGATCATCAGGCGCTTTGAAAAGAAGGGCTTCAAACTGGTGGGAATGAAACTCATGCAGGTGAGAGGAGCTGGCAGAGCAAGGGCTGTCCTGGCACCCTTTAAAGGTCCAGTCCATGCCTCACTCTGTGTATGCTCTGTCTTGGGGCTTTAGACTTTTGCAGCAGGGACCTGCTTGCACCCTGCTTGCTGATGTGCTTTGTAAATAATACCTAGTTTTTATATAGCATTTTTTATCAGTAAATCTCAAATCTTGCATAGGTCAGTATCCTGATCCCCATTTTACATATGAGGAAACTGAAGCACAGAGAGGGGAAGTTACTTGCCAAAGGCAGTGGTTCTCAACTTATTACACATTGTGGGCCGCATATGCAGCCCACGATGTGTTACCTGGGCTACAGGGGCCGGGTGGCAGGGCAGCACCCCTGCCATATGCGGCCCACCGGCTGCCCACCCCAGAGCTTGGAGGGCGTGCTGGCAGCCCCAGACCTTGTGGGGTGGGCCGGCTGCCCCGGACCCGTGCTGCACGGCTGCCCTGGACCCCGGACCCGTGTTACGCGGCTGCCCTGGACCCCGGACCCGTGCTGCGCGGCTGTCCTGGACCCCTGGTGCCTGACCCTGCGGGGCTGGCCGGCAGTCCCAATCCTGGACTCCCACCATGCGGGGCGGGCCAGGAACCTGGCAGACCCCTGCATGCAGGTCAGCCCTTAGCACCCAGCTGAGCTGGGACGCAGCTGTGTGCTAACTGGGCTGCGGGTTGAGAACAGCTGGCCTAAGGTCACCCAGCCAGCCAGAGGCAGTGCTGGCAATAGAATCCATAGAAGCAAAGAACTGTGGGGCTGGAAGAGACCTCAAGAGGTCATCTAGTTTAGCCCCCTGCTCTGGGGCAGGATTAAGTATGCCTGCCACCTGAGTCACACTCTATTGCTCTATCCACTAGGCCACGAATAACAAAGTTCAGAAACGCCTGGTATCAGAGCTGCTCCACTAGATGGAGACAGGAAATGAAAGGAAAGCTCCCTAGTTCTGTCTCCGTGCAGGTAGCCAGTCCAGCTAGGGTGATTTAATTTGGATCTTTTTCTGGCCACCATCATTCAGGGTCAAGTTTTCCAAAGCACTTTAGTCTTATTTTCAAAAGTGATTTAGGCACCTAAATCTCATTGACAGTCAATGGGAGTTGAGCTCCTAAGTCTCATTTCCAAAAGCAACTTGAAGCACTTGGGATCCAAAATCATTTAGTCACCTTTGCGAATTTACTGTCTTCCTTTTTTTTTTTTTGGAGTACCCTGCCCCAATCTGTCTTATGCAATGGACTGTCATATAGGCTGTTCCACTGTAACTCTGTTTTGCAGCATTTGTTATGGACCTATGAAAATGGACCTGTAATGGAAACTTATTTTTTCATCGTCAGTGTAATAGACTCTTGCTGTTATCTAAAGGACTGCATTGCAGATAGCCTGTTCTGAACAGAGCCCAAATTCTGCCCCTGTTGATTAACTGAATCCCGAAAGGTACTGTGAGGCTATACACAGAAAATGAGTGAGAACTGAACTGAAGGAAGAAAATGGGATTCCCCAGATGAGGAATGAACACTGATCCATATTCACCTGGCAGTTGTTCCTTCCTGATGAGCTTGATTTCCTCCTCCCAGCTGCACTGCAGAATTCAGGAATCCAGCCCTCAGAGCAGGGAAGGGTACCTAAACGCCACTTCCAAAGTGGACTCTTCTGTCCACCAGAACAGCCATTATAAGCCATTTTAGGACAGTCCCATTCTATAAAAGCAAACTAGATCATGTGCTGTGTTTGTGCCCAGGCCTCGGAAGACTTGCTGAAGGAGCATTATATAGCCCTCCGTGATTGCCCCTTCTACAGCCACCTGGTGGAGTACATGAGATCGGGTCCTATTGTAGCCATGGTGAGTACTGGCCAGGGGCCCCTTTCATTCCCTGAAACCGATATCAAATGCAAGTGCAATTAGCATTGAACTTGAGGCCATTCGATCTTCCTTTCATACCCTTCTGCCAGATCCTCTGGCTGAAGTGTTACATTGTTGCATGTAAAAGTGAAACCTGTGCACGTCTTTATTTTATTCAAACAGATAATCATAGGCTTTCTTGCGGCAGATTCTGCCCTGACTTACCTCCAGGCGTACTCATACGAGGTGGTGGAGTTAGCTAGAGGGTGCTTAGGGCAGGATTTGGCCTTGCTGCTCAGCAAGCTGCGGAAGCTGACTCTTGCTGTGCTGTCTTGTAGGTCTGGCAGGGGCTGGATGTGGTAAAGACGGCTTATGCAATGATTGGAGAAACTAACCCTGCCGATTCCAGACCCGGCACCATCCAAGGGGACTTCTGCATTGAAGTCAGCAAGTGAGAGCCTTGGGTTTGTTTTTGCTGGGGAATCCTCTGTGTCCCTGTTGCAGGTGGGAGGAGGCTTCTTCTGCATTCTGCTCCATGTCCCAGTTACTCTCCCCCTGACTGAGGGGGAAGATGGGGGAGAGCCTTTGGAGTCAGCTCTCAATGCTCCTGTCAAAGGATCACTTGTGAGCGATGAGCACACCTTATTCTGCCTGGCTCCCAACCTAGGCAGCAAGAGAACAAAGCCCAGATCGTCTGTGGCAGGGTGGGATTCTCCATCTTGTGTAAAGTAGCCAATTTTGTGCAGCATTTTAGGGATTTTTACCCTAATGGTATGGCCAGTTTGGAGTTAAACCTGAGATCTCCTTGTTTGGGGCCAAAACTAATAACACCATGTTGAACCATAACTTTCTGGTGCCCCCTTGAGGAGAGGGTAGGCACCACTCATCTCAGCAGTCCCTCCCTGGACCACAGCATTGCTGTGGGGTCATCCCAGAGTCCAGTCCTCTGACTGTGCTGTTTAGGAGTGGGGTGGTTGGGAGGCTACATAAAGTAGCCTCACTTCAGTCCCTGGAAAAATCATGGAGCAGGTCCTCAAGGAATCAATTTTGAAGCACTTTGAGGAGAGGAAAGTGATCAGGAACAGTCAGCATGGATTCACCAAGGACAAGTCATGCCTCACTAACCTAATTGCTTTCTATGATGAGATAACTGGGTCTGTGGATGAGGGGAAAGCAGTGGATGTGTTATTACTTGACTTTAGCAAAGCTTTTGATACAGTCTCCCACAGTATTCTTGCCAACAAGTTAAAAAAGTATGGGCTGGATGAATGGACTATAAGGTGGATAGAAAGCTGGCTAGATTGTCAGGCTCAATGGGTGGTGATCAATGGCTCCATGTCTAGTTGGCAGCTGATATCAAGCGGAGTGCCCCAAGGGTCGGTCCTGGGACCGGTTTTGTTCAATATCTTCATTAATGATCTGGAGGATGGCATGGATTGCACCCTCAGCAAGTTTGCAGATGACACTAAACTGGGAGGAGTGGTAGATACGTTGGAGGGTAGGGATAGGATGCAGAAGGACCTAGACAAATTGGAGGATTGGGCCAAAAGAAATCTGATGAGGTTCAACAAGGATAAGTGCAGAGTCCTGCACTTAGGACGTAAGAATCCCATGCACTGCTACAGACTGGGGACCGAGTGGCTAGGCAGCAGTGGATCTAGGGGTTACAGTGGACGAGAAGCTGGATATGAGTCAACAGCGTGCCCTTGTTGCCAAGAAGGCTAACGGTCTTTTGGGCTGTATAAATAGGAGTATTGCCAGCAGATCGAGGGATGTGATCATTCCCCTCTATTCAGCATTGATGAGGCCTCATCTGGAGTACTCTGTTCAGTTTTGGGCCCCACACTACAAGAAGGATGTGGAAAAATTGGAAAGAGTCCAGCGGAAGGCAACAAAAATGATTAGGGGCTGGAGCACGTGATTTATGAGGAGAGGCTGAGGGAACTGGGATTATTTAGTCTGCAGAAGAGAAAAATGAAGGAGGATTTGATAGCTGTTTCAACTACCTGAAAGTGGGTTCCAAAGAGGATGGATCTAGACTATTCTCAGTGGTACCAGATGATAGAACAAGGCATAATGGTCTCAAGTTGCAGTGAAGGAGGTTTAGGTTGGATATTAGGAAAAACTTTTTCACTAGGAGGGTGGTGAAGCACTGGAATGGGTTACCTAGGGAGGTGGTGGAATCTCCTTCCTTAGAGGTTTTTAAGGTCAGGCTTGACAAAGCCCTGGCTGTGATGATTTAGTTGGGTTTAGGTCCTGCTTTGAGCAGGGGGTTGGACTAAGTGACCTCCTGAGGTCCCTTCCAACCCTGATATTCTATGATTCTATAAAATAAAAAAGTCAGGATGCTGCCGCATCTCACAAAAGACAGAGTCCAGAGCCTTCCGAAAGCAAAAGGAGAAGAGGGCCTCACAGCAACTCCTGCTTCCTCAGCCTGGGGAGCTCTGAGTTCCAGCCCTTCTTTCTGAGTGCCACCCAAACTGAACAGGGACCCTGCCTCTCTCCAGGCTTGACAAGCCTCACTGGTGTGGTGCATTGGGGTGGGGCTGATTGTCCCCCAGGGAGCTCTTTAACCCCTTCTTGACTGAGACGCATCTGCCACTTCACACTTCCATAGCAATTTTTATCTTAAGTATGCTGTACGGGCACTCAACTGATCCTCACAACACCCTACTGAGGGAGAGAAGAATAATCTCCTTTTTACACGTGGGGACACTGAGGCAGGGAGAGTGCATGGACCCGCCCAAGGCCACAAAGGGAATCTGTGTCAGAGCCAGGATTAGATGTTGGGAGTATCTGGCTCCCAGTCCTGTGCTCAGACCATGCCCATCTCTTGTGGCATAATACTTTGCATAGTACGTTTGGCCATGAAGAGCACTATGCTTAAACTGCCTCTTTGGTCTCAGGATGAGCCGTGGAGAAGAGCAGAGTTTATGCTCTTTCTTGCTGCTTTATGCTTTTTTCTATTAAAACAAAAAAGTGAGGGGTGTTCTGCTTGGCTTTTACCATATAACTATCATATAGCTTCTTGAAGCTCCCAGAGCCATGGTGGGGAGCACTCCCAGCTATTAACTGAAGTGGTGGTAATGCTCAGTGTAATAGATGAGCTGTCTCCTAGCCCTTAGTCAGGCATATGAGTTAGTTAGGTGTTAAAAGACAAGCAAGAGTCCTGAATAGTCTGAGGCCCTGGCTACACTAGGGGTTTCCATCAATGAAGCCTCACCAATTGGCTGAAATCAGGGCTAATTCTCAGTGTAGCCAACGCCTAAATGAAGCTCACATCCCTCCTTATATAGGTTTCATTTCCTTGGCATCTGATGTCAAACTTACCAGTTCTCCATAGAGTCTTCCAGGGGAAAAACAGGGGTCAGAAGACTTGAATTTCTAATGTAAAAACAAGCAGCACTACATATAAAAAAGGCACTTTCAGCCCTTCATGAAGCCAGAGCAGCAGCTGTTACTGTAGATTAGAAGAGATTATACTGTATAAAAAATATGGAGTACTCTAAGAAAATCAGAAGATGGGTTAGCTGTAGGCACTGTTGTTGCTTTGGTGACATGATTTAGGGGAGGGGACTGGTGGGAACTGGCAGCTCCCACATGCCACCAGGGCCGCCGAGAGCGGGTTCGGGCCCCTGTGAAAAAAAATTTTGGGGCCCCCCCCAGCAAGGGTGGACCGACTAAACAGGGCCAACGAGAGGTGGGGAAAGCCGGGCCCCAGGCCCCCTTCTGGACCGCCGGGCCCCCGTAATTTGTATCGGCTTCCCCCCCCTCTTATCAGCCCTGCATGCCACAGAATAACTGGCATGTCCTGCCCACAGCCAGAAGCTGCATGGCTCTGGGGTAGGGCTCTGAGGAATGGGAAGGAACATGAGGATTGTTCAGGTAGGAATGCAACAAGATGACACTTGTTCAGCAAACTTTATTATTTTAGCCAAGATGAAATTACTTCTGGCTCTAGTTCCCTGTTGTGTCTGACTTGGAGAGTACTCCTTCTCCTTCTCCACAGGAATGTGATTCATGGCAGCGACTCAATCGAGAGTGCCCGGCGGGAGATTTCGCTCTGGTTCCACACAGACAAGCTGACCTGCTGGGCGGACAGCACTGAGCACTGGATCTATGAGTAATAAGAATGGTCTGGGGGAAGGGTATCTTGCTGACGCTCAGGCACAGTACGAACCCATCCATTTCCATTTCTCCTTCTCTGGAGTCACACTGGACTCTCTGATAGTGTGTTTTTTTCATAGGGTGTTTCTATCTAGAGGTGGGTGGAGGGGTAGTGGGAAGTCTTTTGTGCTCTGGTAACTGACTAAATCGCAGCTCTCTGGGATAGTAGCTACTTGGTGCTGCTGGTCTGGTTCTGTCGCTGCTCTGCAGCATCCTAAAATCCCAAGGGGTTCAAGGTGACCTGCAAAGGAAAGAAAAATGGGCTTGTGCCTTTGGCATCTTTATAATGTATAGAAAAGACCTGAAAATTACATTAGAATTTTAGGCCCTGTCTACTATTGAAGACTCTCTGGTGATTGGAGAACTATTGATATGATGACATCACAAGCAGTAAGAGAGTGAAAGTTGAGCAATTTGAAGATTTTGATTAGAAGGAACCCATTGGATGATCTTGTCTGACCTTCTGCATAACACGGACCAGGAAACCTCACCCAGTAATTCTTGCATCAAGCCCATAATTTTTGGTTGAGCTGGAGCATATCCAATCTTGATTTAAAGATCATTGTTCCAATGGTTAATTACTCTTGCTGTTAAAAATGCGTACCTTATTTTCAGTCTCAAACTGTGCACCTACACTGGATCTTGTTATGCCTGTGAGATAAGACTGCTCTACTATCAGAAATATCTCTGGGCAGATACTTAGTGGTGGTGATCAAGTCACCTCTTCATAAGTGAAATAGATTGTGCTTCTTCAATCTTTCACTGTAAGGTGGGTTTTCAAGCCCTCAAATCTGTCTTGTTGCACCCTTCCAAACCCTTTCCAATTTTCCAACATCCTTCATGAGTTGTGGCACCAGAATTGGACACAGTATTCTAGTAGTGGTCTTACTAATCCCACATACAGAGGTAATATTACCTTCCTAGTAAATAGTCCCATTTATACAGCCAGGGAGCATTCTAGCTCATAGGAACTGCAGACTGGATCAACGACTGGTCCATCTACTCTAGTATCCTATCTCTGACAGGGGCCAAAACAAGTTGCTTTAGAGGATGGTGTAAGAACCCTTTCGTAGGCAGATGTGGGATAATATGCCCCCACATTGTGTCATAGAATCATAGAAGATTAGGGTTGGAAGAGACCTCAGGAGGTCATCTAGTCCAACCCCCTGCTCAAAGCAGGACCAACACCAACTAAATCATCCCAGCCAGGGCTTTGTCAAGCCGGGCCTTAAAAACCTCTAAGGATGGAGATTCTACTACCTCCCTAGATAACCCATTCCAGTGCTTCACCACCCTCTTAGTGAAATAGTGTTTCCTAATATCCAACCTAGATCTCCCCAACTGCAACTTGAGACCGTTGCTCCTTTTTCTGTCATCTGCCACCACTGAGAACAGCTGAGCTCCATCCTCTTTGGAACCCCCTTTCAGGTAGTTGGAGACTGCTATCAAATCCCCTCTCACTGTTCTCCTCTGCAGCCTAAACAAGCCCAGTTCCCTCAGCCTCTCCTTGTAAGTCATGTGCCCCAACCCCCTGATCATTTTCATTGCCCTCCACCGGACTCTCTCCAATTTGTCCACATCCTTTCTGTAGTGGGGAGCCCAAAAGTGGACGCAGTACTCCAGATGTGGCCTCACCAGTGCCCAATAGAGGGGAATAATCACTTCCCTCGATCTGCTGGCAATGCTCCTACTAATACAGCCCAATATGCCATTAGCCTTCTTGGCAACAAGGGCACACTGCTGACTCATATCCAGCTTCTCGTCCACTGTAATCCCCAAGTCCTTTTCTGCAGAACTTCTGCTTAGCCAGTTGATCCCCAGCCTGTAGCAGTACATGGGATTCTTCTGTACTATGTGCAGGATTCTGCACTTATCCTTGTTGAACCTCATCAGATTTCTTTTGGGTCAATTCTCCAATTTGTCTAGGTCACTCTGGACCCTAACCCTACCCTCCAGTGTAACTACCTCTCCCCCTCAGCTTAGAGTCATCTGCAAACTTGCTGAGGGTGCAATCTATCCCAACATCCAGATCATTAATAAAGATATTGAACAAAACCAGCCCCAGGACTGACCCCTGGGGCTGCCAACTAGACATCCTGATCTCTAATAGAGTTTGGCTTAAGCCTTGAAGCACATGGTTTAATATCACTTCCACAAAATTTTATAGTAATTAATTATGGCAACTGGATAGTCTTGATCTCCATATAGTCATCTCATTTTTGGATCTTAAGTTCTTGGCCTCAGCAACAGCATGTGGCAGGGAGTTCTGCAGTTTTATTTACAGATGGTTACAAAAAGTATTTCCTTCTATTGGGTTTGTTTCATTGACTGTCGCCGGTTCTTGTTATGAGACAGGAAGAACAGAAGTTTCTACTCTACCTCCTTGATTCTGTTCATTATCTGATATATTTTTATCATGCCCCCCCCTCTTATTCAGCTCCTTTCTAAGGTAATAATCCTAATCTTTTCAATCACTCTTCCGCTTAGTTTCTCCAGGCCCTTCATCATTCTCGCTGCCCTTCTCTGAGCCCTCTCTAGCCTTTTTGAGATGGGGTGACCAGTACTGCACAGCTGAGGTTGCACCACTGATTTATATAAAGGCATTATAGTAGTGTTGACCTACAATTGAGCAGAGGTTTTCACTGAGCTGTCCCATTATGGTGTCCAGGTCCCTTTCTTGGGTTGATACACATTACAGCAGGGGTAGGCAACCTATGACACGGGTGCCGAAGGCGGCACACGAGCTGATTTTCAGTGGCACTCACACTGCCCGGGTCCTGGCCACTGGACTGGGGGCTCTGCATTTTAATTTAATTTTAAATGAAGTTTTCTAAACATTTTAAAAACCTTATTTACTTTATATACAACAATAGTTTAGTTATATATTACAGACTTATAGAAAGAGACCTTCTAAAAAGTTAAAATGTATTACTGGCACGCGAAACCTTAAATTAGAGTGAATAAATGAAGACTCGGCACACCACCTCTGAAAGGTTGCCAACCCCTGCATTACAGGGTTCTAAATTAACTGTAAGAGTAGTTTAGTAATGTAAGAACTCTCTTAGCCACAGCATTGCACAGGGAGCTCATGTACCATGACTCCCAAGTCTTTTCAGAGTCGCTGCTTTCCAGGATACAGGGCCAGATTTTAAAAGCTAGTTAGGGTGTCTAAAGGTGCAGAGAGGCACCTACTGGGATTTTCAAAGCGCATTAATTCCCAGAGGTGTTAGTTATGTAGGCACTTTTGAAAATACCACATGGTGCCTAAATACCTTTAAAAATCTGGCCCACAGTCCCCCATTCTGTAAGTGACCTAAATTTTGTTTCTAAATGCATGACCTTGCATGTGACTGTATTGAATGAGCCTAGTTTACCAAGCAATCTAGATCATTCTATATAAATGACCTGCCCTTATTGTGTACCTCTTCACAATCTGTCACTTGCAAACTTTTCCAGCAATGATTTTATCAATGATCTGAAGGACAGTCTGCAGCGATTGTATTGGGCCAAGACTAGATCCCTGTGGGACCTTATGAGAAACAGCCATTCTCTTTTAACAGTTACTTTGAACTCTATCAATTAGCCAGTTTTTAATGCACATAATATGTTAGATTATAGCGCTATAGTGATTTTTAGTAAGAACCAAACATTTTTGTTAATACTTATTTAATTCAAATGAATAACATTTTGGAGAAGGAAAATCTTTGTTAAAGTTCCAAATACTTCCATGCCTTCAATTAGGATGTAGGAATTCACAATAGATATCTGATAAGTCTTCTAGCAAATTTAGGGGACACCAGCGTGGACTCGTCTAAAGCAAAACACAAGCAGAAAACTACCTTTAAAAAAACAAAAACAAAAAAACAAATGCCTTTCAAGCCTTCTTTATCCGGTGCAAAAAAGGGGCACAAGCCCCATGTTATAAAAATTATTTGCAGGTCACCTTTAATCTTGTGTTCCCATCTATTCCAGAGCTGCAGCTGGACAGTAGCAGTAACCCCATGGCAAACCTAGTCGAAGCTGTAACCTGCTTAATTTTGGCAGAGGTGCTTAAACTTTACCATGCAGAGAGCTGTGCTGGCAGGAGGCTGTAGGCCACATTCCATTGGCAAAAGAGGCAGCTGACAGCACTTCCTTTCTGTGTTTTAATTCTGAGGTGAGATGGTGACAGCATTCAAGCTGCAGCACTGCAAGCTGGAAGAGGTCCTCTTCACTATGTTAAAGACAAGGTCAGCCATTTGGGATGAGAAACTTACTGACTTGAATGTGCTTTGACAATGCAAGGGATAGACTTGGGGGGGAGACTGTTTCCTTGCCAATTCTGGCCTTGGCTTTCACCACTCAATGAAATGAAAACACTACTTGACAATGGGGCCAGTACCTCACAAACTTCTGCTAAATTAGGCAGCAGATAGTGCAAACTATGATTGAGACCTAGTTTCAAACAATCTTTCAGTCACTGCCAATCACCCTTTCATTTCCTCGTGCAAATTGTTGCTGTCTGGGGTGGGCAAAGTGTGTATATCACGGCCCCATCTTTTGAGACAGGCTTGGCAGCCCTTTGAGTGCAAGCACACCAGCTTTTGGCCTTTGAGTCCCCATTCCATATTGCTACTGCCGTCCCTTGGAATATGATCAAGTGCCCAGAAGCTTGTTATATAAAAAGATCTAGGTGGATCTAGGTGGAGGCTGATGGGATGTGCTCTTTCTTTTAACTTATTTTCCTCCATTCATAAAAACCTGTGTATTCAGCCAGCTGTTAATTCCATAGCTGTTGGGAATGTGTCCCACACCATGTGAGTGGAAGCAATAAACTCAACCAGTCTCTTTAGCTGGCATGCTGGCTGCAATGCCAGTGCAAAAGGGTTGTATGAGGGCATATTACCAATGACCATTTTAAAATAAACAAAGCTGTTTTGAAGCACTGACTGGTGAACAAAGATCCTTTCCACAGCACCTATATGGCACTATGCTGCTGTGTTCAAGCATGCTGCTTATCTCCAACTCCTTCAGCTGCAACTCTCATTTTTTACATCTATAAATATATAACTGACTTTTATAATGGTTGTCC